CCGGTCATAGGTGTATAGAGAAGTTGATGACCGGGTTTAGGATAGATGGCCGTACTATCAAGAGGGGCAAACTTGTTTGCATATCGGTCATCTAGTGCCACTCGAGTGATCTAACTTTGCATCATCGCTAGGATCGAGTGGCGTGGCAAGTTGAGTGGCTAACATCCTTTGGGAAATGATTGTGAAAAGCTAACACACATACATATGGTGGTGTACACTTGGTGGTGTTGGCACATTTACAAAGGAGGTGGTGTTTGCAGGGTTGAGATGGGTTTGGGGAAATGGAATGCCTATTTTCTATTGCGCCGGATGCAAATTCTTGTGGTTGGCACATTGGAGCAAGGGTGAAGAAGTTAGAAGTGAAAACGAGTTGGTCGCGAAGACGCTGGCGTCGGTCAACTGACCAGAAGCTGGGTCTGAAAGCACCGAACGCTGGTAGCATGCGTCCGGTCGAGCTGGTCGGTCGGCATAGTACCGAGGGTATTGCACCGGACGCTGGTCTGTGTCCGGTCAAGGTGGACCGAACGCGTCCGGTCGAAGAAATACGCCTTGGGGAGCTTACTGGAAACGACCGGATGCTAGGGTCCAGCGTCTGGTCAGTTGAAGCTGCTGCGTCCGGTCAGGTCAAGTGACCATTGGAATCAGGACACGTGGCCGTCTGTGGGCGACCGGACGCTGAGGTCCAGCGTCCGGTCAAAACGACCGGAGCATCTGGTCAACACGACCGGAGCGTCTGGTCGGCCCGATTTTTGCCCAGTGAAGGGGTAACGGCTAGTTTAGCCCTTGGGACTATAAATAGAAGTGGCCTTTGGCCATGGCTGGTGCTGAGCACCTAAGGGGACTTAGTGTCCATGCTTGTGAGTGCTTGGGAGCCCTCCATCACACATATACTTGATAGTGATCATTCGATTGTGTGAGTGAGCGATTCTAGTGCGATTGTATCGTGAGGTTGCATCGAGTGGCACTAGGTGGTCATGTTGCAAGCCGGTGGTGCTTGTTACTCTTGGAGGTTGCCACCTCCCTAGACGGCTTGGTGGTGGTCTCCGTCGAAGCCCGTAAGAAGCTTGTCTTGGCGCTCCGGAGAAGTGCTTGTGAGGGGTACTTGTGCTGCGCCCATGAGTCGCGAAGAGCAACTTTAGTAAAGCGTGTCATTGAACTACCCTCACTCAAGGGGTAGGTTCTTGCGGTGCCCGACGTGCGGGCTTAGTGGGTGATGCTAATTAGCCGCTTCAACCACCAAGTGAGCGGATGACAACTTGGGACTAGCGTGTTGGCAAACACGTGAACCTCGGGAGAAAAATCATCGTGTCAAGCTTGTTCTTCCCGTTGGTTTGCATCCCCATTACAAAGCTTGCAATTACTTTTATATATCTTAAGCTTGTGTAGTTGCTCTTGTAATTAGATAGCTTGTGTAGCTAGCTAATTACCTTCTTGCTTGTGTAGCATAGAAGTAGCTCCCTTGCGTGGCTAATTTGGTTTTAGTAACCTTGTTAGTCACATTGCTTAGTTTGTGTAGTTAAGTATTTGTGCTCTCTAATTAGGCATTGGTTACCTTGTTATTGAGCATTGCTAGTGAGCTTAGTTAGATTTGTGCTTTTGCTTACTAGCATATGTAGGAGCTCCCTTGTTACTTAAAGTACTAGTGGCATAGGTTTGTGTGACCTTGCTCCTAGAATTGTTTAGGAGAGCTCTAGCTAGCCTGGCACCTTAGTTGCTTTATTAGTATCTTTGCAAGGTGCTATAGAACATATATTGAGGGGTGTAGTCTTGGCTAGACCGATAGTTGTATTTCCGCATTTGTTTCGGTTAGCCGACGCGATTAATTTTACAAAAGACTATTCACCCCCCCCTCTAGTCCGCCATCTCGACCCTAACAGATGATTCGGGGTTCCCTGAGGACACCCGATAGTCTTCTTAAGTTATCGGGAACATATGCATAGTCGTCAGAGGTCATTGGACAGTGACAGGTGCATGTGGGTCCTATAATTTAGGAGGTTCTGCCACACTAGAGTCGAATCAGCTGCTGCTGACTATGTAGGTTTGGCACTGACGCCCTCAAGTGCAGCACTACCGCGCTTTGGAGTTGCAGTAGGTGTTTGCTATAGTGTAGCATCAGCAGGTACGTCAGCGAAAATTGGTGCAGCAGCAACTTGAGGAACCTCCATTTTAGTGACTTCTTCTTCTTGTGGTCTAATATCACCAATAGTCAATTGCTTGATTGCTTCACATGGTGGATCCTCCTTTCCAACAACACTTGAATCAACTTGCTCTACTTGAGAGCCATTTGATTCATCAAATGTCATGTCTACCACAAGCTCAACTCTCCTAGAGGTTTTGTTGAAGACACGGTAGGCATGCTCATTTGATCCATAACCAAGAAGAAAACCTTCATCAACTTTAGGTGCAAACTTAGAGGTTTTGGGTTTCTTGTTAAGTATGAAACACTTGCACCCAAACACTCTAAAGTAAGACACCTTAGGCTTGTTACCGGTTAGAAGCTCATATGAAGTTTTCTTCAACTTCTTGTGTAGTAGAGGCGGTTGATGGCATGGCAAGCGGTGTTGATGGCGTCACACCAAAAGATGGCCGGCGTCTTGTACTCATCTAGCATTGTCCTTTCCATGTCAATGAGTGTATGATTCTTCCTCTCTACTACACCATTTTTGTTGAGGGATGTATGGAGTTGAAAACTCATGCTTGATGCCCTCTTCATCAAGAAACTCCTCAACTAGAGTATTCTTGAATTCAGTCCTATTGTCGCTTCTCACTTTCTTGATGGGAAGACCGAACTCCTTTTGAGCTCTTCTAACAAATATATTCACCTTCTCTTGAACTTGGCACTTGTCATGCAAGAAAAATACCCAAGTGAAATGGGAATAGTCATCAACAATAACTAGACCATATTTGTTATCCCCCGATACTTAGGTAGGCGACCAGTCCAAAGAGATCCATATGTATTAGCTCTAATGGTTTCTTGGTGGTCATGATGCTCTTTGGTGGGTGAGGTGCTCCAACTTGCTTTCTGGCTTGACAAGCGCTACAAATCCTATCTTTCTCAAAGTGAACATTTGTTAGTCCAAAGATGTGTTCATCTTTTAGAAGTTTGGCCAAGTTCCTCATCCCAACATGGGCGAGTTGGCAATGCCAAAGCCAACCCATGCTAGATTTTTCCACTAAACAAGTCTCAAGCTTAGCTTTACTTTTGTTGAAATCAGCTAAGTAAAGCTTATTCTTTAATTGACCCATAAAGACAATAGAGGAATCATCCCTTCTAAAGACTTACATACCCTTATCCAAAAGAGATAATTGTAGCCCATCTCACACAATTGAGAAATGGACAACTAATTATAACTCAATGAATCAACATGTAATACATTTGTAATTGAATGCTCAAAGGTTATAGCAACTTTACTGAGACCAATCACATCCCCCTTTGAATTGTCTCCAAAGACAATATTTTTATTTGAGTGCGTCATCGGGGAATATGATGAGAACATACTCCTTTCTCTGGTCATATGGTTTATACATCCACTATCAAGCACCCAACTTGATCCACCGGAGGAATATGCCTACAAAACAAGTTTAGTTGCTAGATTTAGGTCCCCAATTTGACTTGGGGCCTTGCATGTTAGTCACAAGAATCTTAGGAACCCAAATATAAGTATTCCTATATATGTTGGTTTCCTTTCCAACATATTTTGCAACCAATTTCCCACTGTTGTTGTTCCTCAAAACAAAGCATGATGTCAATCTTTGTCGAGGTGCATAAGTCTTCGGTTGATAGGCATACTTATTCTTGGTAGCCCACACTGATTCCTTAGGCTTCTAGAAAACATGTTCCTCCTGGTACACCTTCTTCTTGGGCTTAGTTGTATTAGGAACAGAATTGGTAGCCTTCCTATTTTTGCGGGGCATGGTACTGCCGCCCTTCACCACGGCACTACCGTGTGCGGCACTGCCTCTCTGGGAAGCTACACTACCATGGTCTGTGTAGGCTGATCTGTACCAATTTTTCCCTTCCTCTCAAACAGCACACACTCATAGCCATTCATTATCCTTCTTTCATTTGTCTTGGATCCTTTTGTGTGACCGAGCCCATGCTTGATTGAGGGATGCCTTCCTTGCTTGAATTGTGGCCCTTTTGATTCATCAACCTTCTTGTCATTAGATTGGGTCACACTTATCCACCCTTTTCCATTGACTTTATTGAGCCTAGCAATCTCCTTTCTCATAGCTTCCATGTTTACAAGGTTAGTGGAATAAGCACTACAACAGCACAGGGATACAGTAACACCAACTTGTGTTATTGTAGGTTGGAAAAAGTGCTACTAGGTTGGAAAAAGTGTTACTAGCTCTCTTAGTAACACTTTTTTTGTGTTCCAATTGGCCATGTTACTATAGACTGGTTTATTGTAAAACATCTACTTGTCTATAGGAACATTTGTCTAGTGTTACAATGATTTTTGTTGTAACACTTTTTTTTCTCTAGTAACACTTCACATTATGGTGGAATACATAGTTTGTAACACATTTATTTATCTATGGGAACATTTGCCTAGTGTTATAGTGATTGTCTGCTGTAACACTTTTTTTAGTTCTAATAACACTTCTATATTATGGTAGAGCACTGTATGGAACAAAGAAACACATGATTTGTAACACTTGTTTATATCTATTGTAACATATTCAGATTAGGAAACAAATATTTGTTTCGCCTATATATGTGGCACACGGATTATTATAGAATCACACAAACATGACACATTGCAAAATCACATAAACCACAAATTTCAATAATCATAACAAGATCCACATATAGTAGGATGATTTGAAACATAGTGCTTGTTCATATTAAATCATAGTATTTGTACATAACGATATGGCTCTAGAGAGCAAACACACATAGTCCATACTAGAAAGAAAAATTCAAGAACTAGCTAGGATTCATAAAGTCCATTGCTTCTTCTTCCATTATTCTTTGTACACATCGATGTAGGAATTCAACCATTAATAATTTGAACCTGCAAAGAAAATGTAAGTTGTAAGATTACAAATTAGGCCACATATGTACAATGATGTAAGTTAAGAAGCTAGTTTGAACATACAAACATCGAAGGCCAAGCAATTGAGACTCCTTTGGCTTGAGCATCACCAATATTGTTGCACCCAAGCCTAGGCCTCACTAATGGCTCATCTTTTGCTATAGCATGATCGATACGCACTTTGTAGAATTGACTTCCTATCTTAACTCCACCAACAATGGCTTCTGGATCAGTGCTCAAGAGAGTTGCATAGGCCACATTAGCCTTATTAGGATATTTTGAAGTCATTAGTAGCACCATGGACCCAACCTACATTAATTTGACATAATCTCTTAGTGACCAACAACCCTTAGTTGTACATCAAGATCATGCAATTAGAACAAGTGTATTATGTTCATCTACCTTCATTATAGGAAGTTGTTTAGGTGCTTGTCGCTTGTTGCAAGTAACCTTGTCATGAGCCACCTCCTGGTGTGCAATGGTCGTAGTCTCTCCAGGCCCTCCATGATGACCCTTACACATATAAAATGAAGTATGAAATATTAAGACAAAAATTCCTCTATAAATACAGCAAAGTGTGGTTCATAGATACCTTTTGTTTCTTTGTTGTTTTACTTGTGGTGAATAAAAGTAGACTATCATCATCACTATATTCAGACTCACATGTTTCTTTATTCTAGTAAAGAGAAAAAAGACAGTAGCATGAGTTAATATAAAAAAATCCTTTGTGAATAAAATAGTATTAAATTCACAAGAAAGTGGCTTTACCAATTCATCCCTGTGTTCAAGGAATCCATCATTCTGGTTGGGTGCAACACAGTGAACTCTCTAAAATTTTGAAACAATATTAAAGCCAAAAGACTAATTTAGGTGAAAACATGGAAAATAGAGCAAATACCTTTCTTTTAGAAAGCACCGCTTGATTCTGAGAATTGTTATGATCACTCCTAGCACAATTTCCCTTGAAAAGAAATAAAGTTTGAGTAACACATTTCAATACGAAGTTACAAATTAAAATGTACATTGTTACCATTGTTGCTTCTTGGTTCTCATGCTCATGGTGCCTTTGATTGTTTTTTAGTTCTTCAATAACTTCGTCTTGCATTCTAGAATGCTCTTTGAGTTGCCTTATTTCCTCCAACATGTGAGTCTCTACATCAGATGATGAGCCATCTAGTGAAACTATAATAATGTCCTTAAAATGGTGTGTTCTTCGACCATAAACTTGTTTAGGAACTGGAAGCAATCCCATGCCGTGCACTAGTCCAGTTTTCTCTTCTCCCAACACCCGATGTAATGCATCACCTTCCCATGCAACTCCTCCCTCACTATTTTGTCCTAACTCTGGTTGTGTGTCCAGGAGATTTTCTAGTTTAACCTACAAGCAAGAAATCCACACATTAGAGAACAGAAATAATTTTATATTTGCAAAAATTCTCATGTGCATGTAGCATACCACTGGTTCATTTATCCCTTTTCCCCTTTTCCTGTGAGTTGCGAGGTAAACCTTTGCTCTATGTCAGTTTGCCTCTAAAAAATAGCAGTAAAGGAAAAGTAAGAAGAATCATATATATATTTTTTAAACAGAAGATGACTCACCATGTCCTCAGACCAATGAGCATAACTCTTTGTACCGGTTGTATGTGTTGTCTTCTTCATTTCACGAATTATTGACAAGAGAACTATTGTCACTGTATTAATGAAAATGTCCTCTGGTGGTCATAGAAGCTCCTCCAAAATGGCTCCGACTCCTCCGAAGAAGCCCCTCAGGAGGAGCCCTGCCAAACACCCCCTTACTCATTGCTACTTGGTTCTCGTGTGATGACCACGACGTGATTGCCTAATAGCCTTGACGACAGCTAGGTGCGATGTTCGTGTCGCCTATGAATAGGAAGGTCCACATGTATATGTTTCTTTGTAACACTTGGACTGTAACATTATTTTGTGTTACTACAAGGTATATATTTGTAACACATTTTATATGTTCCATTTATGTGTTACAACATAGTACACTTTGTAACATTTTGCTTGTAACATTACTTTTGTGTTACTATGAAATTTCACTAGAACACATTGATGAATATGTTACAAGAAAGTGATACAATATCCTTGTTTTGTAGTAGTGAAGCATTCAAATCAAGATTAAAATATTTTCCACAACCTTGACTAGTAGAGGGAGTAGAGGTTTCCTTTGCCTTAGTGAGATGTGAGTTGCTATCCCAAAGAATTCTATATTGCATCTCAAGTTCTTTGTGCTTTTCATCTAAATCACAATACCTTTTCTTGAGAGTTTTATTTGCTTTCTTTGTGATAGCATGATCCTCTTGCTCTTTGGCCAAAGCCTTGCGCAAGGATTCCACCTCACTTCTCTCTAATGCAAGAGCTTCTTTGCTAGCAATGTAGAGATCATCTTGTTGGATAAGAGTCTCTTCTCTAGATTCTAGCTTGGCTTGGACACTCTCTAAATTCTCTATTAGCTTAGTGATGAATAATTTGGTCTTTCTATCTAAATTTTTAGTTATCATGTTTATTTCTTCATCACTAGATTTATCATCACTAGAGCTATCACTAATATCACTACTAGAGATATCACAAGGAGGTGGAGGAGATTTGGCCTTCGATTTGGATTTTACCTTCTCACCCTTTGCCATGAGACAAATGTGAGGGGAGTAGTAGTCATCATCGGACATGTCATTGAAGAGCCTTGGTGTAGGGGATGACTTGTGAATAGCAATAGTTGCAATCTTCTCATCCTCTTCACTTGTGCTCTCTTTAGTTGAGTCCCATTCATGCCCAATGTGAGCCTCTCCCATGTACTTCTTGTTCTTTCTACGGTCATCCTTCTCCTCTTTCTTGTCCTTCTTGTGTTTGTTGTCCTTGATCTCATATGGACACTTGGCAATGAAGTGATCGGTGCTTCCACAATTGTAGCATGTCCTCTTTTTCTTGTTTGGAAAGCTTCTCTTTACTACCTTGTAGCCTTGCTTCTTTAGCATCTTGTGATACCTCTTCATAAAGAGAGCAACATCATCAACTTTCTCATATTGATCATCATCATTTTCACTTTCACTTGAAGATGATGTGGTCTCTACTCTTTCTTGAACTTGCTTGCTTGCTTTGGGCTCGCTAGTTGAAGCTTGTTGGTTGATCTTGGACTTGCTTGTAGAGCCTTGCTTGCTTGATTTGTTGGCCTTGAGAGCTACATCTTTGATCTTGATGCCCTCTAGCTTTGCTTGCAATTCTCCAAGTTTCTTCCTCTCATTTGCTTCTTCTCTTTGCATGTCAAAGGTCAAGATCGTCCCAAGTACATCATTTGGTGTGAAGTACTCAAACTTCTTCTTGTCTCTAATTAGAGTGACTATGGTCTCATTTCTAGGTGAATAAGCTTCCAACATAATCTTGATAACTTTGTGATCATCTAGCTCATCACAACCTTAGCCTCTAATCTTGCCAACCATTGTCATCAACCTATCAAACATCTCTTGTGGCCCCTCTCCATCCAAAATCACAAATTGGTTGAGCTTTGACATCAACAAATCAATTCTTGCCTTTCTCACTTTGTCAACCCCTTCATGTGCTAGGTGCAAAGTGTCCCATATTTGCTTTCTTTCTTCTTTCCTTCTTCTTCTCTCATTTTCATTGAGAGCTCCTTCGGCATCGGTAGCCTCAAGATGTGGTAGCGTGGTGTTGCTTGCTGTCGACGCGCTCAGCTCACCGCTGTCCGTGTCGACATCCACCCGCTTCACGCCACTAGTTCCTCCTCCGGGCTCCATACCTCACGCTGTGAAGTGTATATGAGGTAACCCGCTCCGATACCACTTGTAGGATCTCTAGTTGGCCTAGAGGGGGTGAATAGGCCTGTCAAAACAAACACTCATACTTTTATCAAATTCACCCAGCGGCACTGCTGCTCTGGGGGGCGGCACTGCTGAACTACGGCATTGCCAGACTAGAACAGCGGCATAGCCACACCTGCAGACAACTTTGAATCATAGTTCAAAATCCGTGAACAAAAACTTAGATCGGAGAAATTTCCTAGCTTACTGTAGGTATGACAATCACAGATCAAGAGCTAGAAGTGGTAGGAACACCACACACAAGTAGATCGACTAGAAACTCTAGAAATCACCTCAACCACAATATGTCATGCAAGTAATATGAATCAAGCACAAGTGACACAAAGATTTATCCCATGGTTCGGCTCACCACCAAGGCTTGCCTACCTCCACGTTGTTGAGGTTAGCCACTAAGGCTTAGGAATTTCCAACCCTTCCTCATTCTCAAGTCAAGAGACTTAACTCTTGAGATGAGGGGTGAGTTTACTAACTTCAAGAGATGGTTACAAACCTCTTGGGGCTGCCACACAAGTTAGCAAGCTCCACGGGCGATGCTCTAGCCAGCTAGGAGCCAAGCTCCAAGAGTAACAAACACAACCATTGGCCAAAACGTGAACCAAGTGCTCTTTAGAGTTGAAGAATCAATGGAGCTGCTCTCAAATCAAGTTTTGGACCCTTTTCCCTCAAGGATTGATGGGGAAATCAATGGATTTGCATGGGGGCTTGAGGTCAACAATGGAGGGAGAGAGAGAGAACTCCTGCTCTATTTTGAGCATTCTGAAGTGAGGAAGAAGAGGCAGATTACCGTTGGGGAGGAAGGAGAAAGGTATATATATCCCACAACCCCCAATGGTCACCTCACCCAAGGGTTCGGGCGAGACTAAACCTGTGGCCTCGAGGTTAGGCGAGACGGAGCCCACGACCTCAAGGTTGGGCAAGACGGAGCCCATGTCCTTGGGGTCGAGCAAGATGGAGCCCGCGTCCTTGGGGTCGGGCGAGACGGAGCCCGCGACCTTGGGGTCTGACGAGACGGAGCCCGCGACCTTGGGGTCAGGCGAGATGGAGCCCGCACCCAAGGGGTCGGGTGAGATGGAGCCCACACCCAAGGGGTTGGGCAAGACAGAGCCCGCAACCCAAGTGTAGTAGTGCCTCTCTTCAAGTGCGGCAGTGCCACACCACGCAAGACAGCAAGGGTAATAGTAAAGTGTAGACTGTCTGGGCTGTGAATCTGAGGATGCATGTGGTTGTTTGAGCACTTGGTAGCACATATTAGCTTAAGCATTGTGTCCCCCTTTATAGTACGGCTTTTCCTATACTCAAATTCAAAATATAAAAGAATTTAAACCTCCTTTGAGTTTGAAGCCATCTACATTTGTAATTGGGGGCTCCTTCGTTTCGTGTAGCATCCTCGAATATAAATTCCCTGCTTGTCATCTTGATAAATCTCATTAGTTCTCTAATTACGTGGTCATTATCACCAAAACCCACAATTAGGGCTTGATTGCACTTTCACTTCCCCTAGTGCCCATTGGCCCCATCGCAAGGATAACTCCCGGTCGAGTAACTCCATGGATAGCCCACGGGCTTTCCCCACGCGCAATTGGGTCTTTGTGTGACCTCTCCGAGATCGCTCCCAGTCGTCTTCACTATCAAGATTCCAGTCAAAACGCCATGGTCCTCATTCCCATAGTGTAACGTAAGCGACGACTCCACACATAGTAGGGTCTCACATGACTACAACCCCCTAGTATACAAATTTTGGTGCATGCAGGCATCATTAGCTTGGAGGTGTGCAGACCTCACTAAACACTAGACCTAAACCTAGAGCAAGTGCTAATTGTGGTCTAAACTAACCTAAGCACTTTGTAAAAAGCACTAACACTAATCACCTAATCGTTTCTTAAGCACTTTTGGTGGTTACAAACAATAGTTGGTGAGCTTCAACTCACCAGCAACTTCCCTCAGCTCCAACACACATGCATGAAATGGACGAGTGGTGAGCATCAGACAGATCCGATGAACCCACCAAAGAGATCTTGTGGCTGCCATGTAGACCAGTCGTTAGCTGACCATTGGAGAGTCTAAATTATGTTGGTAAGCTCTCGTGCACCACTGGAGAGTTCCGGTGAGTGTAACACTTCCACCATGTCTCTAGCACCCTCTTTGTAATTATCCTCCGGTGCACCTTGCTTGTCTTCTATTGTCTTCAAAGCAGCTTTTTGTTCTTTGGTTGAGGTGTTGATGACATGGTCACTACTGTCGCCTCGCCCAAGTCCATCCTTGCATCCATTGGACTAAAACTTTGTATACTAGCAAATACATTAGTTCCAAAGATCATGTCACTTAATCACCAAAATCATTAATGGCACTAGCTAGGTGACATTTTCCTTACATCTAGCTTATAGCCATAGATTATAGATGGTTGAAGTGTTCCACGACCATTATCTTCAAATATGAAATATTAGGGTGGAGGTGAATAGTTGGATTTTAATGGTTAGGTTATGAGAATCTTCCCCTAGAATACACATGTATATAGGCCAGATTTTATATTTTGGTTAAATATATCCTATGTGGATATAGACGCCAAATTTTATATCCTTTTCCTAAAAAAATACACATGTACTAGTTCTAGTTAGAGATCAAATTCAGAATGAATCTTAAGATAATCAAAGAAGCCGTGGGAAAAAGGAACAACCATAATGTGTCCAAAAGCAGTTCATAAGGTTCCATACGAACTGTCTAGAATGTTGTGGAACTAGCTAGTCTATAACAAAAGCTATACATAAGTTTAGCTGAAAAAGAAAATAGTAGTACTATTACTAG